GATTTGTACGGGGCCAACCCAAGTGTCCCACAAGAACTAGATGGAGAGTCAGAGAGATGAATGGGCCCTGGTTGTGGGCTCAGGTCAAGGGCAGCTGAGATCACTGACGAACCTCAGTGGAAGGAGAGGGGCCATGAATAAGCCATGCTGTGGAGATGCCGAGAAAGACCGAGACCTGTGCGACAGAGCCACAGCAGACTCACAGCCCACAGCCGTCCTGCCCCACTCATCTGCCTTCTTTGTCCAAGGCTGCTGGAGCCCACGCCCATGCCTGTGGCCCCAGAGACCTTTGAAGACAGAGGTGGGCCCTTGAAGAAGGGGCGTGTAAGTGGATGGGTGTCGGAAGGAAGGAGGGATGAATGAGCTGAGAACAGCCTCCAGGCCCCTCTTTGGCCTTCCCCAGGAGCCACTTTGGCCTTCCCTGCTGGCGCGCCTGTGTCATTAGGGAGCCGGGCCACCACGGGGCAGGCAGACGCGGCTGTCGCAGAGCAGGGCAGCCTGAAGCAGCCAGGAGGGCGAGCAGGGGCCCATGCGCCTGTCCCTTCCAGCTTGGCTCTGGCCTGGTTCCTCAGGGCACAAACAGGTCTGACAAGTTCCTCCGCAGCTGAATCCTTGACTTCCAGGAAAGCCAAACTCTTAGAGAGCAGAAGGAAGGAGAGTTCTTTTGGAGTATCGCCCCTCCTCTACCCTTCGCCTCCTCCTGGGGACCCGTTCGCAGACCTTGCCCTTGTGGCTGAGCTGGAGAGCTCCAGGCTGTTGGGCACCCCTCTCTCCCCACCTCACCCAGGAGCAACAGGTAGCTTTGAATGGTGAGGGACAAGGAAAGGGATCTCTTTGTTGTGACCCCAAACTGTGCTCCCGTCACCACATCCCACCGCATTGGGTGGGAGTGTGGGGTAGCTCTTACCCGCTCCGGCTCAGAGGCTAGCTACCTGGGCTCCACCCCCAGCTCCACCACCGACCTTGGACAAGCTCGGTGCCCCCTGCCCTGCCCTGTGCTCCCAGGGCTGAGACGCCTAAGAACACACGTGGACCTTGACCTTAGGCCTTGGGCACTTGGGATCCGACGTTGCTGGCGCTTCTCCACCCGATGTTGCACCTCAGGCCTCACCTCCCAGCCTGTGGACTGCCAGTCTCTGCCTGCTCCTCCTTCTACTCTGAGGGCTCAGGGTTACCCGTGGCTTCTTGTCCCTCTGCCGGCTGACTGTTCACAGGCTAGCCCAGGTCCTGGGTCTGTGTCGCACGCCGGCCACTGTCTCCCAGAGCCGTAGACATAGCATCTGGCTGCCCCCAGAGTCTCGCTGCTCACACTCAACAGTCCCAAACTGAACTCAGTCTCTCTCCCCGGAGCCACTTTCCCCAGGCATGGGGCCACCGGTCAGCAAAGCCATGTCCCCATGGATTTCTCTGATTCCCATCTGTCTATCTCTCAACCAAGCTGTCTTTTCTCTTTCCCTCCCTCCCTCCCCCTCTTACTTTCCTTCTTTCCTCTCTCTTTCCCTTGCCTTCTTTTTCCTTTTCTTGTTCCCTTCCTTCCTGTTGGGATATAACACAAATACGGGAAAGCGCGTTGACTGTGTGAATCTTAATGACACCATTCGATCATCTTTCATGTCTATACCCAAGTGCCTGCCATCCGGATCAAGACACAGAGCATTTTCATCTCCCCCAAGTTTCTCTCCTGACCCCTCCCCACCCAGAAATAACCACCATTCTGCCTTCTACCTCTGTAAATTAGTTTCACCTGATTTTGAACTCCACAGAGGGGGGTCAAAAGGTATGCAATCTTAGACATGGAGGTTGATGATTTGGAAATGAGAGTCCACATATAAACGTGTACAACTCTGTGGTCAGTTTATCTTTGACAAGGATGCCAAAACCCCTCAATGGGGGGGGGGGGGGATACAGTCTCACTAACAAACGGTGCTGGAGGAACTAGATACATATATTGGCAAAGAATGAAGCTGGACCCCTTCCTCACACCATATACAACAATAGCAAAACCTTCAAGATTCTCAGTGTCTTCAAGATGAAAGCTGAAATTATCAAACTCTTAGAGGAAAAAATAGGCATAAAATAATACTGTCAAGACAATGAAAAGATGACACACAGATTTGGAGAAAATTTTTGCAAAGCATATATCTAAAAAGTCTATAGGGGCACCTGGATGGCTCAGTTGGTTAAGCGTCTCACTTCGGTTCAGGTCATGATCTTGAGGTTCATGAGTTCAAGCCCCACGTCGGGCTCTGTGCTGACAGCTCAGAGCCTGGAGTCTGCTTCGGATTCTGTGTCTCTCTCTCTCTCTGTCCCTCCCCTGCTTACACTCTGTCTCTTTCTCAAAAAATGAATAAACATTAAAAAAAGAAATTAAATAAATAACAACAACGAAGCACCCAGCTGGCTCAGCTGGTAGAGCGTGCAACTCTTGATCTTGGGCTGTGAGTTCAAGCCCTGCATTGGGTGTAGAGCTTACTTTAAAACCATAAAAATTAAAACATTTTTTGAAAAGCCCACAGGAAATAACAGTTCTGGTGAGGATGTGAAGAAAGTCGAAGAACCTTCGAACACTGCTGGTGGGAATGTAAAACGGTGCAGTCACTTTGAAATGATGTTTAGTGGTTCCTGTAAAAGTTACCAGGGGACCCATCAACCATAGTCCTAGGTGTTTGCCCAAGAGAATCAAAAACACGCTCACACAAAAACTCGCATGTGAATGTTCACAGCACTGTCATAACAGCCCCAGAGTGGGAGTATCCCTCACCTCCAGTGGGAGATGAATGGATAAACAAAATGCCATCTAGCCACACGATGGAATGTTATTCAGTTATAAGAAGGAATAAAGTACCACGACACAAGTGAACCATGGAAGCATTGTGCTAAGAAGCCAGACACAAAAGGTCATATATTGCACGACTCCATCTATGTGAAATGTCTACAGGAGGCAAATCCATAAAGAAAGGAGATTGGCATTTGCCGGAGTAGCTTGGCCCGGGAACGGATGAGGAACGATTGCCAACGAGTTTCTTTCTGGGGGCAATGATAATGTTCTAGATACAGACAGCGGTGGTGGTCGCACAGCCTTGTGAGTGTACTAACAGCCCCTGAAGGAGATACTTTCAAATGGTAGATTTTTGGGTACATGAATTATATCTCAGTAAGAAAGCTGTTTTTAAATATACTCTCATTAAAGTAAGTTAAAGAAGTACGCTTTCTTTTGCTTGTGTGTCTTGTTCTTTTTAAAAAAGACTTTAAGTAATCTCTACGCCCAATATGGGGCTCAAACTCACAACCCCAAGACCAAGAGCTGTACGCTCATCCGACTGAGCCAGCCAGGTGCCCCCTTGGTGCGTCTTCTTCCACACCATGTCGTAGAGCAGAGTCACCTCGTTATGATACATGTCAGCTTACTTTTACAGCTGTGTGGTGTTCCAAAGCATGGATGTCTTACCATTTATTTATTTTAATGTGTATTTATTTTTGAGAGAGAGGAAGAGCACAAGCGGGGGAGGGGCAGAGAGAGAGAGAGGGAGACACAAGGTCCAAAGCAGGCTCCACGGTCTGAGCTCTCAGCACAGAGCCTGACGCTGGGCTCGAACACATGAACTGTGAGATCATGACCTGAGCTGAAGTCAGACGTTCAACTGACTGAGCCCCACGGGCACCCCAACATCTTACCATTGAATTGATCACTTCTCCTCTTGCTGGACATTTGTCTTGCTTCCAATTTAGGACTCTTATAAATCTGTGAGTTCTTGCACTTGTCTTTCAAAGGATGCTTGCTAGACATTTCTAGTAGTATCCATGTCGGAATGGCAGTGCTGTGTCAGGACTAGGCATACATGTTAACCTCAGGAAGTTAACCACTGCAGTTGGCCAAAGCAGGTGACCCACTTCCTGCTCCTGCGACCAAACTCTGAGAGTTCTGTCTGTTCCACATCCTCACCAACACTTGACCTTCTCAGTCTTTTTAATTTTAGCCATTCCGGAGAGTGTGTTCCTTAGGGAGGTTCTCATTTGCCTTTTCCTATGAGCATTGAGGTTGAGCATCTTTTTAGGTCTTTCTTGGTCATTTGGAGACCCTTTATTTGTCCCCTACGTGTGTGTGTATGTGAGTGTGTATGTGTGTGTGTGACTGTGTGGTTGTTAGCTTTCCATTATTGATGTGTCAGATTTTTAAAAAAATTTTAATGTTTATTTACTTTTGAGGGACAGAAAGGCAGAGACTGAGCATGAGTGGGGGAGGAGCAGAGAGAGAAGGAGACACAGAACCGGAAGCAGGCTCCAGGCTCTGAGCTGTCGGCACAGAGCCTGACATGGGGCTCGAATCCATGAACCGCGAGATCATCACCTGAGCCAAAGTTGGACACTTCACCAACGGAGCCACTCAGGTGTCCCGAATTTTTTTAAAGTATAATTGGATTATAAGATCTTTGTCCAAATCTATTCCCAACACTGGGCTTTGCCTTTGCACACTCTTCAAGGTGTCTTTTGCTGAGTGGAAGTTGTTACTTTTGATGATGTCCAATGTATGTGCTTTTATTTTATTGTTGGTGCTGCGTGCGTCCTGTTCAAGGAGGTCCTCGCCTGCCCCTGATGCGTCCCTCGGATCCACTCCTTCGTCTCCACCTTCTTGGCCTCTGCCCAGCTCCTAGCTGCCGGGTCCCCGCTGGGCTGCTCTGACCCCTGTCCCCGTGTCACCAACCCCAATTCTTGTCTTCCTCACAGCGTGCCCTTCTGGCCTGGGACAGGGCCGGGTCGTCCACTGTGCCCCCCCGACTTGGCACTGGGTCTGGCACGCCCTAGGTGCTCAACCACAGTTCCATAAATGAAGGCAATGTCCTGTGGCCCAGCTGGGGACCCTTAAAACTGTCAATGAGCTCTACACTCAGCCCATCAGGAACATTTGAGCAAAGCCGGGGAAGTAAAAAGTGTCGGAAAAACCAACAACACAGGACTTTTCTCTTTCTCCCCAGCCGGGGCATTCATCACAGAAACTCGAGCCTTGTTCGCAAGCTTTATTCTTGTTTTGCCCCTGATCCACCCACGGGGCGAGGGGAGCCTTTTCTTTACACATGTTGGCTGCAGGGGTTCCCCGACAGTCGCCCCCATAACACCGCTGGCATTGGCTGCCTCGGAAGGTGGGGACTTCTAGTCCTTCTCTTCGCCGTGCGTGATGATGTAGCACAGACTTCTGTAGTCCAAGTTACCGCACATGTCTGGAGGGAAAGCCGTGAACATCTGCTTGACCTGGGGAGGGAGGAGGGAGTCAGCCGGGATGAAGGTCAAAAGCAGGGGATCCCCCTGAGGCCTTCAGGAAGAATGTTGCCCCTCTCTCTGCAGCTGGGGGCAAGGCTCAGAGCCCAGGGTCCCATGGCCACCCCTACTCCTCCTTGTTCTCATCCAAGGAGTTGAGGGGGTCATCACCTCCGTATCTGAGGAAGAGCAATCGCGAGGAGGGGTTGCAGAGAAGGGCCTGGCCCCCCCCCACGCCTCCCCGAAAGACTCAGCATCGCCCCGAAAAGTCCATGCTTACCTCCTCCTCACTGAACCGGTCCGCCTGGGTCATGAGCTTCTCTTTGATGCTGCTCAAGGAAGAAGGAGGGTCACGTTCTGGGGCAGGGCCACCCCGGGCATGTGCACCCAGAATCCGGGGGTGATAGGGCAGTTAGGGTGTGGGGAGGGGCCTGCCCCAGGAGGACACCGACCAGATGTCTTTTTGGCCTCAGGTGGACCCCTCGCCCCTCAGCCTCAGTTTCCTCCTTTGTAATACAGACTCTCCTCCAAACATCGGGCGGGGGCCAAATGGAGTGAACTTGGGACTCTGACATGACCTCGGGGCCCACTCTGACGTCCCATCATGCACCACCAATCAACCTCCGGGTCACTGAGCGGAGCCCCTCTGCCTCGGTTTTAGACGGACGCCAGTGCAGCTGGCGTTGCCTTTCACCTACATCTACAGCGAGCTTTCTAGAGTACAAGGTGGTTGCAGCCAAGGGCCAGGGAGGCCCACCTGGGTCGGTGTCCTGCCTGGGTCTCGTTTGCTCCTCCTGGCCCTGGGAAGTGAGTGCTAGCTGTCCCCCATCACTGAGGGAAACCTGGGTTCCGGAAGGGTAAGGATTTGTGGCGGCAGGTGGGACCCGTGTCCCTGGGTGGTCCCGGGTAGCAGCTGCCCATGGGCCCTGGGGCTGGAGCAGAGGCAGGAGGGGACTAGATGGCCTCTCTGGGACGTGGCCGACAGGGAAGGGATCCCAGGGCTGAGCCCCAAGCGTCCCGTGGCGCCGGCGGTGGAGAGCGTGCTGAAGACCGACGCACATTTTCCATTATTTATGTTACTGCGGGACAGTCAGTTTCCAGCTCCCTGGGCCGGGGACTGTTCACAGACTCCGTCACAGCCAGAGCCTCTGCTGTGGCCTGCCTGGCGGACAGCCACGTCCTCCGGGTCCCACACTCTGGGGGGCGGGGCCTTCAGTTCCCGAACTGGGTCCCTAAAGCGTTCCTGGCTTTGCACTGGTGGGAGCGAAGGTGTGTGGCAGTGGAGGGGTCGATGCAGACCACCGTGGGGGTGGCCCTCAGTACCTTCGGGGGGCCCCCAAGACGGTGTGGGAACCATGGAGCCCTGGAGGAGGGGTGCAGGAGAGGGTCCCAGCTTGCAGGAACCCTGAACAACCCCTTGTCTACCCATGGGGAGCATGTGACTCACGATTTTGGGGACCGGGTTGGTGAGACAGTGTGAGAGAGAAGACAGAATATTGCCCCTGCACCTGCACCCCCCCCCCCCCCCCCCCCCCCCCCCCCCCCCCCGTTTATGTGCGATTCTAACAGGCAGCAAATCTAGCCTCAAAGTCAAGTCAAGGCTTCAAGCATCGTAGTAATCAGCCAGAAAGCCTGTGCCTGGGGGCGGGAAACTTGCCTCTGTCCAGGCTCCCCACAGGTCCAGCGAGACCTCGGAGGCTCTGCAGGGACCGCCCAGGGACAGTTCCTTGTCCTAACCCTTGGCAGGCCGCCCCTGCTCACACAGCCCTTAGCTCTCTACTCAGTGCTCTCACTGGGCCGAGAAATAGTGGGCATCTGAGCCCCCACCTCTACGATGCTGGCCCAGTGGCCCGACAGACAGCTGTGCTTGGCCCCTCACTCTGTGCATCCCCAGCCGAGCCGGTCCCTTCCCACGGCCCCTCCTCTGTACCTCTCCCCAGAGCCTGGATCCCATCGGCACCGGCCTCTAGTGTGTCAGTGACCCATCGGTTCCCCTCTGTCCCCACGGCCAGGACCCTCGTGGTGACCATAACCCTTCCTCCACCAGGCTGGGTGCCATGTCGCCCCATCTAACTCCACCCCAGGCTCTCCCATGCCCCCAGGGCGGACCCGGAGTCCAGCCAATCCAGCCAACCCCTCACCAAACCCGCAGATGCCAAGCCTCGGCCCTTCACCACTGTGTTCCTGCATCTAGAATGTTCCCTCCCTCAGCCGAGGCAACCTGTAGTTGCCCTTCAAGGCCCCCCTCTGCTCTCATTCCCCCTCTGGAAATGTATCCCAGGTGACTCCATACTCCCTGCACACTTGCACACAGAAATGGGGACACTGAGGCCCAGACAGGGGAAGGGATACATTGAGTGATGGCTCAGCTGGGCAGGGCAACACCCTCCTGGCTCCCGGTCAGACGGTGCCTGAGCATTGGGGTAGGGAGGAGACTGACCCACCATCTAGCCTGACTTCTCCCCAGCTCACTTGTCACCTGAGCCTTCCGGGACAGAGGGGACTTACAAGTCAGCCTTGACAAAACCTTTCCCTTCAGTGTCAAACACCTTGAAGGCATGGAGAATGGTCTCCTCTGGGTCCGTACCTAGAAGCAGGACACACAAGGCAGAGAGAGAGCTAGGATCATGAGGAATGGCCGGGGCTGGGCAGGGGCTGGGGGTGGTGGGTGCTTCCTCCCCTCTGCAGTGGGGGCCACGCCCAGTGGAAGCAAGAGAAGGGGGATTTCGGAGCAACAAGGAATAGCGTTGTGAACAGCCTGCACCACTGTACATGGACACCCCAACTGAGCACTTAGTACATGGTTCACCCTCCTGACGACTGGCCAGATTTTATAGATGAAGAAACTGAATCTCTGAGGTCATGGTTAGGGAGGTAGGGGGCCGGGCACAGCCAGAGCAGCTCTAGTTGATCACCTCCAGTGTGGGCTTGGGGGAAAGATGGCATCAGAAGTGTGTCTACTGCCCCAACAGGGTCGAACACCTAGCCCCCCCATTGTACAGATGGGGAAACTGAGGTCCAGAGAGACTCAGGGTCTCGCATAAGGCCTCACAGGTTATGAATGACAGCAGGTGACCTGGTGACCCTTGCCTAGTACCCCTTCCCCTCTCACTGCTACCCTACTCACTGCAGCTCAGGAATGTCCCTTTCCTTCTTCAAGGCTCAGCTATGTCATCAGTGAAATGGAGGCAAAGGCGGTGTTTGCTGCCCCCCTCCCAGAATCCTTTAACAAAAACGGGTCATTAATGGTAAAGATGTCAAACATTGACTACTGACGGTCACAAGCCCCTCTTTGTGCCCTGGGCCATTTCACCTCCTGGAGCCCCAAAACACCCCGTGTGTAGGTGGTCATGTCCTCAGTTTGTCAGAGGAAACTGAGGTCGAGGGAGGCTCTGAGCTTACCGAGGTCCCCATTAATAAGTGAGGGGAAGGGTTTGAAGCCACGTCTTGGGACTCCAGAGCCCCCTGCCTGTGGGGCTACTCTGTGCTCCGGCCTGGCCAACGGAGCCCTGTCTAGGACAGAACACCTGCCGTCCAAGTCACTCGGTGCCTCTGGGACTGACTGAGTCACCGGGCCTGGCACAGTGTTGGCATCGCTGGCCCAGGGGCTTGTGGAGGGCACGGCCGTGGGCTTCCTCTGGGGAGGGCAGCAGGGAGCAGTGTGCCCCGTCCAGAGGCTCAGCCCAGGATCCAGCTGGGGAGAACCCAGGCCCTCACTGCCGGGCCTCACGAGGCCAGCAGGGGTGCCCGAGGGATCATGGTGGGGGCCAGGGGGAGCTCTTGGCTTCCCAGGGTTTTTGAAGAGGGCTCACTGCCAGGGCAGGCTGGGTCCGCCCACCTTCCTGAGGACTGGCTGCCCCGGCCTCAGGCCCAGTGGTCGGCCAGAGACCACAGCCCAATCCTCCCAGAAGGAGGCAGGCTGCAAAGCACACCAGACGGACTGCAGAGTGGCCGTTGGGACCAAGTGTCCGGCCCCAATTAGAGATGGGGCGGTGCCTGCTCCAGCCCCTGGCTCCCGTCCCCACCTCTGGCCAAGTGTGCAGGCTTGGCCAAGTTCACATGACAGGCTCAGGTGGAGCCCCAGTTCTGCCCTCCCTGCAGAACTAAGAAAAAGCTGCCGGCGCTCCGCCCCGCTGGGGCCTGGGTTATAGCTGTCAGCTCAGCCGTGCACAGACATGAGCTTCAGGCCTCCCTGTAGAATCACTGGCCGGGGCCATGTGTGTCTTTCCCAAGAGCAGACCCCCGCCCCAGTCCCCCAGGGCCCCCTAACAGCTACCTGGAAAGGGCCAGGCCCAGGCTCCCCACTCGCCCAGGTCCCGCCCTCGGTTTCCTCGTCGCTAACATGGTAGTGTGGGGCTATTAGGTCACAGGTCACAGGCTGGCCTTCTGGCTCCAGAATCAGCCGGGACAGGAGGACAGTGTGTGTGTGGAGGCTACTGTACCTACGACGGTGTTATGGTTTCCTGCCAAACGCAACCTGTGATGTTGCTAGGGGTCCACGCCTGTCGTGGGGCTGATGGTGGCCCCCAAAACACGCCCATGTCCTCAGCTCCGGCACCTGGAAATGTCACCTGACTTGGGAAAAAGGGCCTTTGAGGCTGTAAGGAAATGATGTTGAGATGGGCGGTCACCCTGGACCGCCCAGTGGGCCCTAAATCATGTGACAGGTGTCCTACTGACAGTGAGGGGCAGAGGGAGACAGACAGACCGGAGAGGAAGGGGCAGTGTGACCACAGAGGCAGGGGTGGGAGCGAGGCAGCCACCAGAAGCCAGAAAAGGAAAAAAAAAAAAAAAAAAAGAGGCTTTCCCCTGGAGCCGCTGACAGAGCCTCTTGCCAGATCACAGCCTTCTAGACTCCAGAACTGAGGGCGCAGTTGCTGCTTTTTGTGGGTGTTGGCTAGAGCGGCCTCAGGAAACGGACATAATCCCCACTGTACAAACAAGGTGCAAAGCAGACAAGCCAGACCCAGGGTCACCCCGGGGGGTCAGCCAGAGGGCATCAGGCAGCCTGAGGGCAGGGGGGGTGACGAGGCTCACCTCCCAGGGCAGCCACAGCCCAGACTGGCCATATTCTGTCCGGCCGTGGGAGCCTCGAGCCCGGGAAAAACGTTCCTGAGGGGCAGAGGGTAGCTGGCTGGGCCCTGAGAGAAAGGGACAGAGTTGCCCTGACCCCACACCCCAGGCCAGGTGCTGTATCTCAGGAGGATAGGCAGTAAGAGCTGGAGTCCTGGTTAGGGCTCTCTCCCCGCCACTTTGTTGCTAGAACACCTGCGGCAGGGGTGGTGACACCCCTGAGCCCCTGGAGGCTGTGCCAGTGTCCTGTCCAGCCCTGGGGTAGGCCACAGTAACTTCCAGAACCCCCCTCTGGTGCCCCTCCTGCAGTGGGTAATGAGGCAGAGCAGGTGCGATGAGCCGAGGGTAGGGAAGCAGGGCCGGGCCCCGCGTCCTGATGGTGGGTGGGGGGGCTTTCTCGAAAACTGTCCCGCTGGCCCCCCACCCCCTCAGCTACTCTGTGGTGTAGACACCCCTGGGGCGGGGTGAGTGCACCCAGCGGGCTGGCCTCCGGGGGCTACACCACCCTCCCAGCTGCCTGCACACGTAGCCGGGCTGCCCAGACGCTCCCCGGGGCCACCCGGGGCCCCACTCACCCTTCAGCTTCTCCCCGAACATGGTCAGGAAGACGGTGAAGTTGATGGGCCCGGGGGCCTCCTTCACCATGGCCTCCAGCTCCTCGTTCTTCACATTGATGCGGCCTGGAGGAGGGGAGGAGCGGGGACACTCAGGAGCATAGTGAGGACCGAGGGGGGGGCCCTGCCCGCAGGCAGTTCCAGGAGAGCAGAGCTCTGGACCAGGGGGCGTCCTACAGGGTCGCCCAGCTCCACTGTCCTTAGGCCCTGCCGACCTGCTGGAGGACCTCAGGAAAGGCGACAGGCTCGGCCACAGTCAGCGCTGGGCTGCCCCCAGCCTCCTTAGAAAGGAGAACAAGCTGGTGATTATCCCCATTTCACAGATGAAGGAACCGAGGCCCAAAGAAGGTGGAGCTGAGGTGCATAGGGGCCAGAAGCCCTGAGCCTTGGGGCTCATGTGCCCTAGGATGAGGTCACCTGGAGGTGGGGACGCAGGTTCCCCATGGTCACAGGGGACAATCACATCTCCAGGAGCTCCAAGTTCAATTTAGACATGCCCTCTCCCCAGCCCCCGCCTGAACCCCCACCCCATCCATGCCTGAAGGCCTCTCCCTGGGCCCTTAAGGCAAAACCCTCCCCTGGCAACTGAAGCTCAGTGGCCTTGAACCCTGCGGATGCTTCCATTCTCTTTCTTAGCATCTCCCACTGCTCTCTTGACCCTGACCCCACCAGGGCCTTCCAGACCAGGCCTTAGCACAGGCCATTCCTGCACCTGGTGCCTTCCTGGCGCCCCGGCCTTGGCCTCCTCTGGCACCAAGGAGGCCCCCTCAACCTTCCAGCCACCGGCTGCCCCTCCCCTGTGCCCCCATGGCACCCAAGCCCCTGCTGTCCCCAGCCGCCCACTCCTTCTGGAAGGCCCCAAGCCCAGAGCCTCCACAGCTGCTGGTCACCCACCCAGGGCAGCAAAGGTGTCCCTCAGGTCCTCCTTGTCGATGAAGCCATCCCGGTTCTGGTCCATGATGGTGAAGGCCTGGCGGAGACGTGGGTACTGAATGGCCAGCGACCCCCCAAGCTGAGCCCAGGCTCCTCCCTCGAACTGTCCCCCCTCACAAGGGGCTGTCCTCCTGCAAACCGCTGCCTGGGTAACCGCAGTGCAGACCCCTCTGGCCACTGCTGTCTTGCTCAGACGGCACGAGCGTGAGAGCGTTGGCTCAGCCACTCGGCCCCCACTGTGTGCTGAGCGCCAGGCCCATCCCTCCCCTCATGCTCACAGCAACCCCATTTTACAGAGAGGGAAGCTGAGGCTCAAAGAGCAGGACTCGCCCGAGGTCACACAGCAAGCAAAGACTCGGTGTGGGGGGAGGGGGAAGGATGGCCAAGGAAGGCAAGTCACCTCTCCAGGCGCAGGGCACACTGGGATGGCCTCTAAGAAGGGTGACATCACCACTCCCAGGGCCTTGCCGGCCCCCTGGGTGCTTCCCATGCATTGTATTAACTCTCCCAGTGGCCCCAGAGGGCACTGACCAACCTCTTTGAACTCCTGGATCTGGGACTGATCAAACATGGAGAAGACATTGGAGCTGGCTCCGCCTTCCGCTCTCTTGCGGGCTCTTCTTGGTGCCTGTGACGTGCCGGGGCAGGGGTGGGGGGACATTGCAGAAACCCTTCCTCTGGAGGTCAGCCACGCACCCTGACCGCCCCCTCACCCCACCTCCCAGGGTGTCATAGTCCCAAACGCCATAGCCACTCTCAGCTGCGGAGTGCAGCAGACAGACAGGGCTCCTAAGGAATCCTTGCAGATAAGCTGAGGCCAGAGACCTGGGGACCCTCTCCTCCCCACCCTACAGGTCGGTCAGTGGCTTCCTGACCTGGAGGTGGGGGCCTAGGCAGGGTAGCAGAGAGGACAGGGTCTGGCCACAGCTTTCTGTGTCCACTCCATCCCTGGGCTCCCCTGCGCCCACCCAGGGCCTGCTCAGAGTGTGGATCCATTGGGAAACGGCTGCCCAGAGCTCAGGCCCCGTCTTTGCAGCAGGTGACCACCCACGTGGATGGTCTCTGGCCGGCCTTCCTGCCTCCACTTGCTTCTTTCAGGATATCAGGTGCCTGAGAGCCCACTACTGAGCATTCCCAAAAAGCTCTAGGTCCCCAAGATGCCCCCAGGGGACCTCTCCCTCAGCAGCCATCACCAGGGCTGATGTGTGCAAAGAGTCTCAGACTTGGCTGGTGATGCTAGAGGGGGAAGAAGGGGGGGTTCCCCCCGGACACCGGCTTCCCGCTCCCAGCCCCCCACCCCCAGCCCCTGCCTCCATCTCAGTGGGCACCAGCCTCTTGGCCAAGCCCCCTGCCCACCCCACTCCAGCCCCTGTGTGGTCTCCCCTCCCCGAGCTCAGTCCATCCCCCTCACCCCCACCCCGCCCCCAGCCTCCCGCCCCCTCCGGCTCCCAGGCCGACTTATAATTAGCTTTTACTGGGTGCTTTGTCTCCACTAATCCTTTGAAAGGGGGCTAGCAGGGCCTGCAGGACGTTATGATGCTGTAAAACCTCTGTAATATTTATAAATCCCTTCAGACATCATAAAGAAACCTACCTCCCTGAGGAGCTCATCTCGCATAATTACATATACATTTCCCTCTGATTAATAAAACACAATCACTTCCGTCTGCGGGAGATTCTGCCCTTTCTCTCCTCAGACCTGCCCTCGGCCTCGGCCGCCCCCATGGCTCCCTCCGCCAGCCTTTCGTGTCCTTCTTGTGGACTGACCGTCGCCCCACTGCGTGCCTGGCCCTCTCCCGGAAGCCCCAAGAGGGGACGGGACCCTGAGCCCCAGAGCCCTGATCGACCTTCTGATCTCCCAGCTGGGACCCAGTCTAGCCCAGCTGTCTTGGAGATTGCCTTTTGTGATGAGCCCCGACAAAAATAAAAAATCTTCCAAGAGGAACACCCCAGGACAGAAGGGGGTTGCTGGGACCTGAGTTCTAATCCTGCCTCTGCTGCTCACAGCCCTGCGATACTGAGAAAATCAGTTGCCTGCATGGAGCCTCAGTGTCCCCACTTATAAAACCAAGGGTAATGCTCCCTTCAGAGTAGCAGGACATTTATTAGGCACCTGCTGACCTCCGGCCAGGCCCTGTGCCCTGTCCCAGGGACCCAGAGCTGAATCATGCCCTGCCTTGTCCCCAAGGAGCCCCCAGTCCCGCTGGGAGACAGATGATCAGTGGAGAGTGATGGAGGGAGGGGCAGACACTGAAGACACAGAGAAGCCCTTATGCCACTGGGCTACTCAGGGCAGACCTCCCGGAGGAGGTGGCTTCTGAGCTGAGGCTTGACAGCCAGGTCAGAGTTCTCAGGCCAAGAGGGAGAGCGAAGGTGTGAGAAACAGAGACATGAGAGAGCCGTGCCGTTGAGACTCCGTAGGGACACCCAGGGGGCTGGAGACCAGGGGCCAGGGGAGGCAGCAGGACAGACCCCAGTCTGCATGGGAACCGTGTCCTCTCTCAGTGGGAGCAGAGCCCTGCTTCTGCCATGAAATCTCTAAGCCCAGCCCCCCCTTCTTCTACCCTCCTCTTCCTTGTTCCTATCACCCCCCCCAACTTCACCTTGGCAGACCCTACCGAGTCCAGGAAGCAGAGACCCAAATTAGGACCTACACAGATAGACTGGCCGCCCGTGAAGGACCGTCCAGGGTGGGCCAGGTGCGGGGAGAACATCAAGGGTGAAGAAAAGGTCAGGACTAGGGATATCAGGTCAAGGTCGAGGATGTCAGTGAGAGGAGCAAGGTCAAGGTCAGGGTGAGTTCAGGCATGAGGTGAAGGTCAAAATCACAAATGAAATCAAGGTCCCAGGACGAGGTCAGAGTTGAGGAATGAGGTCAAGGGCAGAAGGCAGGGCAGCACCAGCCTACCATGGTCTGGAGTGCTCCTTCTCGACGCAGCAGGGCTGTGGGTTCTCAGGGGTGGCTCTTTAAATAGTGCTCCAGGTCCGGACAATAGTCTGGAAGGTGATGAAGGACAGGATGGAGGCCTCCCTGCCAGGCACCTGTCTGGGGCCACTTGGAGTGGGTGGGCCAAACCGCAGGATCTCCGCCTGAACTGGGCCAGCCGGATCTCGGCACCTAAGGGACAAAGGCCCAGGAAGGGGCACTCTGCCGAGGACACACAGCATGCCGAGGCCTGGACTCAGCTGGGAAGACTTGGCCTCAGGCCATTTGAGGTCAGGAGAGCTTCCAAAGCAGGGCCACCAGCACCAGCTGAGGAAACTCAGGCTGCAACGTGGCCCCACCCCTTGAGCTCTGGTGACAGTGGGTCACCAATCCCCGGTGAAAAGTAGCAACCAAGAGCGTGTCACCCCCAGCCAGCCTGCGGAGAGGGTTTCTGCCTTAGCCTGACCCACAGGGCCCCTCCGCCAAGGCTGCCTTGTGGCTACCAGTGCCACCATCACCCACTCCAGCCCTCGGTCTGTTGACAATGTCCAGGGAGCTGAAAAAGCAAAGAGACAGACAAAACAAAAGTGGAGGTGACCCCAGCGGGGGAGAACTGGAAAATCTGGCCACACACACCCCCGGACATGGCCCACCTCCATCAGGCCCAACCAGCCCAAGGATTGTCCAGGAGCCATGCCGGGCCGAGTCCACACCTGTCCCTGGCAGGGGCCCATGGGTCCAGTGCAGCCCAGCAGCCCCCGTCTGCCCAGCCAAGCTGGCTCTCGCGCGGGACCCACTGCGTCTGATCAGCTGCCGGGGCCGGCAGTGCTGGGCTCAGGCGGTGAGGCCACCCACTTCCCGGCACTGCCCAGCTTAACTGTCCCCGGAGCTGCTCTCTGTGCCTCCGGACCCCATTACGGCTGATCCCTGCCTTGGGGGAGGGGGTGTGATGATCCCAATAAGAAGAGTCACTACCATTTATAAAACACAGAAGGACAGGCCGTGTTCTAAAACATGTGTCCTTACAGTGAATCCTCACCCGTTTTCCAGGTGAGGAAACTGAGGCTCACATGGGCTGAAGTCACTCATCCAAGGCTGATGAGTGGTGGTACCAGAATGAGTCTCTCTTTCTAGTGGTTCCAGAAGGGTGCTTCTGGAAGGTTCTGCCCATCCCAATGCTCCCCTTCCTGACCTCCCTGAGATCTATGATGGAATCCTCTGCCTTGAGCCGGGGCCAGAACTACCTTGCTGTCCCCTGGCAGGGATCAACCACACGCTCCACAGATGTTCAGCGGGCCAGGGTGAAGAGCCCGAGGTTCAAGGTTCCCGTCCTGATGTGACTGGTCAGCGGGAGGCAGGCAGTGTGAGTGTGGCAAGGTGCCTGCTGCTTTCTGTGTCCGTGTGGAAGGGCAGGTGGCCACTGTCCATGCCAGCTACATGGAGCCCCCTTTCCTTGCTGAGTCCCTGAGCCTGGCCCCTGGGGCTTCCTGGCCCTGGGCTTGCTGAGCAGGGACACACTTGCCGGAGGCTTGATACCACCTGCTTCCTGCTGGCCAGAAGCCTCCTCATGCAAGGGCTTGATGTCCCTGAGCTCCTGCCTCTGGGGATCACCACCCAGGAGGGGCTCCGGACAGTCCTGAGCGAGCAGGGAGCCACCCACCCAGCCTGCCGGGAGGAGGGAAATGCCAGAAGGAATCGCAGAGAGATGCGGCTAAGTCACAACAGAGGTTACAAGCACTTAGCAAACAGGTTCTGATGCTTTCCTTCCCTGGCCTCCTGCTCCGTGTTACAAAAGCAGGGAGAGCTGATCAGAAATTTGGGTGGGACTGTGAAAACTTACAGCAATCTGACCCCCTAGAAGCTGCCCCTGGGCAGCCCAGAGGCGTGAAAAGGAGGTGGCCTCCGGAACCCAGGGTGCGGTTTGGAAGGCAGATTCCCGCACTGACAAAACTGGCAGCCTCGTCAGCCAGGTGGGGCGTGTCGCTGCCATTGCTGGATCACATTGTTTGGCCCAACTGACCGCGGGATGATGGCCCATTCTGGGGGGCCCCAGAGACCGCTGAAGGGTCTGTACTGCCAGTCAGGGGACTCCTGGGAGTGAGCAGCCACAGAACTGGAATCCCAGGTTGATTCGGGGAAGTCAGGAGTATTTAGCCCCTTGTGAACAGCACCCCATTTCCCAGAGCACAACTCATGGTCCCGGGGGCCACCAAATGTGGAAGGGAGCCTGAAAGACATCGACTGCCTTCGGACTTGGCCTTCCCCGTGCAAGGGTGAAGCTGTCACTCACGCTGCAAAGTGGGCCAGGGGACCTCGCCTTGTCACTCCTCACCCCTAACTTCTCTCAGCAGATCAGCGACTCCCCACCTTTCCCTTGGCCTTGGGGCTTCTCCATCATTGCTCCTTGGCCCCCAGCCACTTGGCCTCTAAGGGCACAGTGAGGGCTCGGGAACGTCGGCTCCCCGTGGCTGTTCATACATAACCTTCCATGTGGGGCGTCACCGGCCCGTTCAGTGTAGCTCATCTAGCTGTGCTAGACGCTGAGCGTGCTTTGCAGACTCTCTCAAGTGGCCCTCGCTTGCACACCATCTGTGATGGGGAACTCACCACTCCCCCAAGCAAAGGCAACTCAAATTGGCAAACCATCGTGGATGACTGACCGTGGCCCTACCCTGGTGTTCTGCAGGCACTCAACACACATCCTTCGCAATCCCTGGGTTTGAATTATTTTAGTAACAGTCAGACGCTGTTATGCTGTACGCTGAGTTTATTCATTCACTCATCAAATATTTATGGAGTACTTATGAATGCTGAGCGTGGCAGACATAGAGGTGAAGAAAAAAAAAACAAAAGCAGGTGTGGCTCCCAGAGAGAAGGGGCCCAGACAGAGTGCCGTCACCCATTCAGAGGAGGTGTCATGGCCTGGGGTCCATCAAATTGGGCCTTGAAGGACGAGGACAAAATGGGCGTGTAGAGGATCCCAGAGCACTCATAGAGGTGCCCAGATATGAAGGAACATAATGTGAGGGACCAGGGCTGGGCAGGAGAGGGGAGCAGAGGGGCCAGAGCTGCTCAGAGGTGGCGGCCGAACCATCCAGAGGTGACCCAAGCAGGACCAGGTGGAGACTTCCCAGACCCGGTGTGGAGGCTCCCTCTTCTGGTTTAGGGTGACTCCCAGCCCTCCGGGCAGAGAATCCCACCCCTTTCTCCCCTCCTCAACCATCAAACCCACAGCTATTTTTACAGCAGGATGCTGTAGCCACAGGCCCCTTGAACAGGACGCATCATTCGTGCTTCTGCAGAGGGAGTGGATTTGCCAGCCTGCTCTGCCGCAGCCATAAAACAGGCAGGAGGCATTCCAGGAGACATTCTTCTCGGCTTTAAAGTTTCCTTGTCTTTCCTAAGTGGCTCCAAATTAGAGGAAGGCTCCAGACAGGGGCAGGCCTGGGGCGGAGGGGACACCAGGGAGTTTGGGAAAAGACAGACCTCCCCCTAATTGTCTTCAAAATCCTGGTCGTCCCATCTGGTAATTAGGGAGTTGACGGTGTAAAAGGCAATTTCCTTTGGGGTAAGAGGGAGAAAACAGCTAATTGGCTCTGAGTCTGGGTTTTGCCTGAAATATGAACTACAGGGTGGTGGGCGGCTCTGGCCTGACCCACACACTGGCCCCGGCCCTGCGAGAGTAGGGATCAGGGAGCCCGGGAGTCATGCTGCCTCAGACAGGTCAGAGAGGGCACGCGGTGGGGTCCCTGGAACCTGTCCGGGGTCCGGGCCTGTTTCGGGCTCCAGGCTACTGTGCCAGCAGCACATGTTGGATGTCCCCGGCTCAACGCCAGATATATCCTGGTTTCTGAGTGGGGAGGGTGGTCCTCAAGGAGGCTGCACTTTCCTGGTATTGGCACCCTGCCTTCTAGAGCTAAATTTGGAGAGAGTCTCAGAGGAGCAGGGGTGGGGGGAAGGGTGGTGGGGAACTGCCCCTCTGCCCAATCTCTGATTTCATTACTGAGGAGGAGATAGGGAGGTGAAGACAGTGAGAAGCGAGTATCGGAATCCAGACCTCCTGACCTTCGTTCGTTTGTGGGAGACCCTCCCACACACTCCCATCTCCTTTCTCCGACCCCAGCATCTTTGGATGTGAACAGGGCTGGCCTGGGGACCAGGTCACAGCCAAGACAATTCAGTGGCCCAGCAGGGGAAGCACGGGGCTCTCAGTGCAGCATCACCTGCCCAGAGAATGACAGTGACATGTCTTCCCAGCCGTGGTCGTCACAAGGCAGGTGGGACCAAGCACCAGCTCGTGCTGAGTTGCTGCAGAGGCTCACCAGCACAGGAGCCACCGAGACACTGTAGTTCATAGTCAGCTCACAGTCAGACATGTTGTTATAAAAGTGAAAATATTCCTGGGCTGCATTAATAGAGGTCTAAGTCCTCAATCCAAGGAGGTGACAGCGCTACCTTCCACTGATCTACACTTACGACAGAAGACTTGTGCTTGATCTTAGTCCTGTGCTTTAGGGAGAGTGGTTTTTGGAGGATAGCAGCATGTAGTCATATGAATTGTAGCTGAGGGGCTAGGGGCTCTCAGCTGGAGAGAAGCAGCTTTAGTGGGGAGCATCACTGTGGCAGCTTTGTTAGTTTATCACCTGGACCGAGGCCTGCACACTCACCCAGCTGGACCAGCACTCAGCTCTAAGAGCCATCATCTTCCTCCTGGTGTTTGCAGCCAGACTCACCACGCTTCTCCGAGCTTGGCCCCTTGGGAAGAACTTTCCCTTGGCTACCCCCATTTAAATCCCGCAATTTGGGTTATTAGCGATTGCTATGTAAAGAATCACCCCCAAATTACTGCTTTTACACTGGCGCAGAAGGAGAGACGGTATAGACCCAGCCTCCTGACGGAATGTGCCAAGGAAGTGGCAGACACGTTTTGCTCCTGCGGGTCCCACCCAGCCTGGGCCCAGGGGAGCTCAGGAAGTGGCCTGAGGTCACAGACTGAATTCAGATCGAGTCCAGAGGGACTCTGT